TCTTGAGAGAAGATTCAAGCGATTTCCTGTGTTGCGCTTTCGAGATGATTTGATTGACAATGTATTTCAAGACGAATGACAATCGCACCCATCTGGCCGTCTCAAGATATTGTACAAGAAGGTCGGCTTATCATACGTCCTCTGTAATAGCAGCTTTCACAGAAAATACGTGCTATAGTGTATATGATATCTTTTATTGAAACACCAAGGCATCTCTCGTGCAACCGATTCGCTGAAAGGATGTTTCGAACTAGGAGCTTGCTTGAATCTTCCTCTCCTATCAACTGTCCTGCAGACTCTCTAGATAATCGATCGGGGATGAGCGAAAAACTCACCAAAAGTGTAAGTTTCCGAAAGATGATGAAACACAGTGGGATGCGACTGACCTTAAATTCAACCGACTTAGCACAATATTTATCCAGGTGGCGGAAGGTGTCCTAATTTGGAGCGGCTGTTAGGAAAGAATTCATTATGCCTTGATTTCGCCTTTCGCAGTCAGTCAAGCCGAACAGCGAGAAAAAATTTAGGAACGAGTGTACAGGAGCAAAAAGCATGCAGCAATAAAACCGTACAAAACAAGAAAAACCCATCCTTCGTTAACCCTGGCTCGGATAGCTTAGGCTGACTCTGACATCTTATCTGTTCTCACCGGAATACACTACTCATAAGGTTGCTGAAAACGTTTGAACAGTTTATTACTAATTTCTTCCTTCTATGCGCTCATCAAGTGGGCGCAGTCTCCGAATTCGGGTCAAGTTTATTTTCCAAACCAATTCTTCACCACTTCTACGCATTTCACGGAAAGCATTCACTTGGAAGTTACATGGTATTAGCCGCGTATCCAACCAAGTCTCAGTGTGTATTACACATCTTCTTGTTGGCACAGTTATTCGCCCTTTGATTTCCTTCATCCGAAGCCGTCTGAGGGGTGCCTCTGAAATGGATGAGTGCTACCAGTTTGGCCGCCTCTAGAAGCACATGTCAGCTGTTGATCTGCCCCACAGATCCTTTTGGTAGCGCGACATTCTAAGTGATGGAGGCGGTGAAGCTAAACATTCAGAACTGCATTCAATTCGTAAGTATTCGCCACGTAGCGTCCATTTCATTGTCGCCGAACACGAGTGTCCATCAGTACGGACCCCTGACATTGGTCAAACATTCCTTAGACATTCTCCCCCTTTCCTCTATCAGCTTTCCTTTCTAGCCATTCTGTTTATTCGATTTTGAGAGAAATGCTGGGATGGGGAATATATGGATATCTTTCCTGTAGGCTTGCTCACGTGGTTCGACATTTCAGGTAATCCAAGTATCTTGTTTTCATTTCAGTTTAGTTCCTCGGCTCCCAAATGGTCGTTTACCGAGGACAAAGATACTAAGCAAATGAGAGCCATGTGTTCGGGTGATAGTTCAAACGGCGCATAGGCCAAGTATGACTGAAAGCGATTGTTATGCAGGGGAGACGATAGCTTTCATGCAAGACCGCCGTTGACCGCGTGATATTGCCATGTCTGTCAAAGTCACTAGTCATTGGTTTGCCTCGTCCCACGGTTCCATCAGGGGGGCACAGCAGTTACCAATACAGCTTATTGCCAAGTCATGGGCTGACCGCTTATCGGTCGCCCTCAGTGTCAAAGTCACTAGTCATTGGTTTGCCTCTTCCCACGGTTCCATCAGGGGGGGGGGGCACAGCAGTTACCAATACAGCTCATTGCCAAGTCATGGGCCGACCGCTTATCGGTCACCCTCACCCGATAAAGAGCTGGGCGTAGCCTGTGATCAGCTGATCCATCGAGGAAAGTAGGTGCCAAGTCATGGGCTGACCGCTTATCGGTCGCCCTCAGCCGATAAAGAGCTGGGCGTAACCTGTGATCAGCTGATCCATCGAGGGAAAGTAGGCTTTCTAGGAGACCATCGGGTGTATCACACCATATTACTGAGTTTATATTTCTACCAGACCCATGCAATACTTCGCAGGCACCAATGGCCAAACAATGAAAGTTTCAGAGGACCTTCCACACGCAGCGGCCACGTCTCATAAGGTAGAGCAGATCGAACCTCGGCAATGTACATTCTACTCTTGACAGTCAAGCTGACGTCACGTCAGTGCCTTAAACGTCGGAGGTGGGCAATCACTGCCCTTCATTTCCCAATTCCGGAGGTACGTTCGTCAACAACTAAACTCACTTTGTCTCCCTGGTGCGTTATATATCGATTAAGTCCATTTGGATAGAAAAAAACTAAATAAGCAATCTAAGTACAGAAAACATAAACACATACAAGACATGATTCCGCAAGTCCTTGATTGCCATTTGAGTGCACTGAATATTGAATAACGTCATACAAATAAATTTGTACTTTAAAGTATTTTGCCACTTTTCAGCTGTTTGCGTGAATTCAACAAAAGTCCTGAGGTTGATGCCCGTAGGTTGCCCAGAAGACAACTCGTTTACACAAAAGTAGAAGACAAATATTATTGAAGGTTCGATCAAACTTGAGGAAAAATTGCCGCCGAAAGTATAACTACTTGAAACAGACGTTTTTTGACATCAAATCTAGTATTCTAACATGTACGCAAAATCCGGAAAACTGAAGGTAATGTTCGGAACGAATCAATTAAATTCGAGTGGACACCAGTGTTCATGAAGACAAAATTGTGTGGTTAGCTGAAGATAGGTTAAAAACCTGATCATTTGGAATAAGATTGAAATATACAGTTCCATTGCTCCGTGAGCGTTCTGGCTTTTTTCACTTCATCGAATGGATCAGCTTAAAGGGTGACTAATTTTTTATCGTCCCTTATGATTTCTCATAGGCGCTACCAGTTAAGAATGAGTAGATATGTCCGCGTGAAATAATACAAATACTTGTCTATCAAGGTGATCATCATAGGCCAAATGTTCCTTCTATGTAACCATCCGGTTGCATTACTGACGTTCTCTATACTACTTTGAGTAGTGTAGACAGAAGGGAATATTCGTCAAACAGGAATAGGCAGTCTAGCGAAAAACTGAAATACCCTAAATAACTCATGATGAAATTCTTGCGTTCATCTGGCTTAACACAAACGCAAGAAAAGATCAGTGATGAATTGCTAAAATTTATTATCACTGATGGCCATAACTTGTCCAATTCCACAAGATATCCAGAAACTTTGAACCAACACAGGTAAATGAGTAATTATGTTGGATTTATTCTTTCCAGCACGTATCATACAACAGGACATTTATTTGTTCTTTGGTCTGGCTTTGAGTTTCTATCGAACGGTTGGACTCAATAGCCATCATCAGAATTGATGAGTAGAAGTCGCGTCAAGCCAGTGAAGCAGAACCTACAGTGATCAGATCAAAACATTGTTGGAAACTAAAGACAAAGTCGATATGAGGGTATATCTCTGATTGTAGGAGCATATTAACCCGCATCTTCCCACTTAAACATCCTCAAAGCACGCTGCAACAATCAGATGATCTCTGTTACCCACTACCGATAAGGTTCACTCTTCATTACTCAACCGAAATTGTCCGTGCGAGGACCAAACTCCCGGGAATCATGCAGAATCGCCTACGATGATGTCGATGCATGCTCTTTTTGTTTCTAGAAGGCACTTTTAACTGTTGATCAGGCCAAAAGGCTCATAGGCCTTTAATTCTTTTTGTCGTTCTCAAAATCCTAAGTCCGTTGTCTTCTTAGTTATCTATGAAAATCGCCCGTCCAATTCGCGCGCACTTGGTTTAGAGACACTACCCTCCTGCAGAATGCTGAAACGCATTCCTTCTCAAATATGTACGAACCAGTCAAAAAAGACCATCCCTGAAAAAGGCATGACGCGTTTTCCGTCATGCCGACCTGTTTGGGGAACTGCCGCGCACGAGAATACTTGAGTTTACAGATGCGTTCACCAGACGCATACAAACTAGTAATGCTCAGGTTGACTACCACTCGGAAAATCAAAGATATTCCAGCTAGGAAGTGTAGAGTTTGTTTCAAACTTCCAAGAGAATTAATTCGACCGTCAAATCTGGCATGATCTGCTCCGAAATTCTGAATGAGAGGGAGATCCATGCACCTGGAACTCCTAGTGTTTGAAACTGTATATTAACGTACTCATGGCTGATAAGTTCGTTGATCCGTTTTATCAATATACTGTAAACCAAATCCGGTTTAAGGAGAACATAAGGTTGACGGAAACTTGGGGACTGCGCCTACCTGATGAGTCCCAAAAACGCAAAACCATTTGTGGGCTATCGAAAAGTTTTCAGCAACCTTGTGAGTAGTTTCCTTTATAAAAATGCACAATACGCTGTCTTAACTAAGTTAACTGAGAGTCCCCACAGCCAGAAAATGCCCATAGTGAACAAGACTCTCATTTCATAAAGGAAACTACCCACAAGGTTGCAGAAAACTCTTCCACAGCCCATGACCGGTTTCGCCCTTCTTGGGACTCATCAGGTAGATGCAGTCCTTGAGTTTCCGCCAACCTCATGTTTCAGAGAAGTACACTCTTTTGCAAATCAGTTTGGTTGACGGGAACTCGGGGACTGCGCCTACCTGATGAGCCCCAAGAATGGCGAAACCGGTCGTGGGCTATCGAAAAGTTTTCAGCAACCTTGTGAGTAGTTTCCCTCATCAAGTCAGATACTGTTCACTGAACACCATTGTGCCGCCACAAGCGCTACACTATGGCCCGTCAAGTCTTTTCAGTGAATTCCCATGACCAGAGGTTGGTGCAGTTCCGGCTTTCGAACTCATCGAATTCCTAGCGAGGTTTGCTTCTGAATGTGAGAAGACGCGTTTACAACACTCTATCACAACGCAAACACAGCCGTGGAAGACGATACAACAGTGAACACTAATCACGCGTGCAAGCCACAGAACAGACAACATGATGAGTGTTCTCACTATCTACGATTACAACTCAGTCGAACCAAACTGAAGTCTCAACTAACAGAAGCTGGATAATGGCACGGAGAGATGTGGGACAAGAGACAGAGAGAACGATTGGTCTGGTGCTTTTTTTACTTCATTAAAACTAGATAAAAATAAATATCAGGGCATCTGGTACGCAGAACGACAACAGTTACAGTAACAACAATAGCCACAAGAAAAAACAAGACCATTTACGACCAAAAAAATATGGCATACCAAAGAGAGAAATGACATGATTAGAGAACGCCATTCGTGTTCTCCCCCACAAAGTGCATGCACAAAAATACCTGTTGGACAGAAGGGATATCTGCAAAGTTTTTTCATCGATTTTGTAGCCCGTAATTGGGGATATCGACCCATCAGAAGGTAAAAATGAACCTTTGTTTTGAGCAATGTTACTACTTGGTTGGATGGCCGTCATAAGTCAATGCTACAAGACTCAGCTAAATGCTTCTCGTGAATCGGTAAATGCAAATACATGCGAGCTTTTTTATTTTTTTTTGTTGCTTCAATTGGCTCTGTCGTACATTGGTTGGTTGTTTGGGTAAATAGGTGGGCGGGTGGGTGTTTCGTGAGGAATGCGTAATCATCGAATGGAATGAACAAACGATGGATGTTTGCTGCGTATTGCTATCGTCGGTTCACAGCAGAATACGAAGTGAGTAGTAATAGTCAGACGGTGAAGTCACGATATTCGGGTGGTATGGGGTTGTACAGGCACATCTTCAACTGGGGAACACATCGACATCGGTGGTAGGGATTTCTGGTCTCATTCCGCGAGCTAATCATATTTGCGAAAAACCATTCGTTGCATCCAACCCACTGACAAACTTCGAAGCATTCTTTCGCGGTGGGAATTACACACATAAAGCTGCCGGTTTCTAAAATAAGTAATGGAACGAATAGTTGAGTACAGGCTTCACTACGGTAACCGAAAAGAAAATAGGCTTTATATCAATTATGGTAAGAATGATTGTGCATAAAATCCACCCGGTGGTGACATTTCTGATGTTGCTACAAACGCAACTTTCAATACAGCCGATAAGCAGTGAAAAAAACACTAAAACCGATGGTTTTTTCAGGCCCTGAAGTACAAGCCCACCTGGAACCACATACACTCATGTCCAACGAACGTAGCGACTAATACCAAAGGACTTGAAAAGCTAGCTGTGCACTGTGATCACAGTCAACTTGTCCCTTGCAAAAGACCGTCTAAAAAATAGCTAAATATCTATTAATTAGGATGGAGGAAACTACTCAAAAGGTTGCTGAAAACTTGTGAGTAGTTTCATCCACGAAAATATACTGCGATATCTCGAATAGCGTACCAACTCGAACAGGAGGCAGTCTTTGTGTGCAGCGCATTTGGTTGAAGAATATCATAAACGAGAGATTTAGTTGGTTGAAAGCCAACTTGAGTGGCAAATGAGTATACTTATCGACCTCAATTAGGATGTTCTCCTGCGGTGCAGTGGGCGCTGATATTTTGAGTGTTGACATCGTTCAACAACACTGTGAACTAATATATGAATTGCGTTGGCTCGCACCGATTAGCTAACACTGGAAGGGTAAGTTGATAGCGAATTCGTTCGAGGCCACCTTGACAAGTAACAGTTTAACAGACCTGTTACCAACATTTCCCACAAATTAAGAATATCATAAACGAGAGATTTAGTTGGTTGAAAGCCAACTTGAGTGGCAAATGAGTATACTTATCGACCAATATCACAAACGAGAGATTTAGTTGGGTCACCCGTGAAAGCCAAATTGAGTGGCAAATGAGTATACTTTTCGACATCAATTAGGATGTTCTCCTGCGGTGCAGTGGGCGCTGATATTTTGAGTGTTGACATCGTTCAACAACACTGTGAACTAATATATGAATTGCGTTGGCTCGCACCGATTAGCTAACACTGGAAGGGTAAGTTGATAGCGAATTCGTTCGAGGCCACCTTGACAAGTAACAGTTTAACAGACCTGTTACCAACATTTCCCACAAATTGTTGCTTTCACACCTGGTTACTATGTTCATTCCGGTTAAAAACTCATGTGGTAAATACGTCATTACCAACTGGCCACGTTCGAAGTAGGTTACAATCTCAAGTGACCTGGTTCCATAAAAATTCAAAATTACCAAATATCACACGCTGGTTGGAATAGCTAACTGTATACCGGTTAAACGAGGATAGTTTTCTGCCTTCAACTAAAATGACATCTATTTTGCCCCAGTTTCTAAGGTACCTATGCGAAATCACTGGTGGGGGGGGGGCGGTTTACAACTGGGTAGATTAATTAACACCGGCTCCGTATAGTCACAAGCTAACTGGATTATTCCAAATTATGTAACAACAAGCTGTGGAGAGTACCACTCATGAAACCTACCTGGGTCAAATCGATGGCCTTCCTCCGGACATTCCTTGGAGAATTTTAGATCCCTTATAGGTAGTCCCTTGTAATTGACAACTAGAGGGTGTTGAAAAAATACAAAATTAAATAGCACCGTTTTATTTGTTCCATGGGGAATACATAGTATATTTTAAAAATGTCTTCAGAGCATCAATTCCTTCTGGTTGCTTAGATAGCTACGAGATATGCATCTTGCAATCACTATAGGGAAATTTGTTCATCTATCTCCCAAACCGATTTCTCATGAGGTAGTGAAAACTTACGTATATTTGTAAGATATAAAAAATACTCAAATTTGCAGCTGATGCCCTTGATCTAGAAGGTGCATCGTCCTGGAAGCACCGGTGGATGTTACGTACTACGCAGTTCGTGATATGTCTAGGGGTCAAAACTGTTTTTTGTTTCGAAAACGCCTTGTCAAGCATCATATTGAGCTATTGGTAGCCCAGGTGCGATGTCTGGTTATATTTATAAGGTGACTTTAATCTGTTCTCGAGCAAATGATGATAAGCAAGCAACTAGCCAATTTTGATGAATAAATCTGAAGCCAACTGAAGTACATCCAATCAATATCAAGCACATGGCTCAAACTCAAGCTTTCTACCCAAGTTTCATCTACTTCCTTGTCCCAGTAGTGCTTACTGTTGCCATCTCCCTAAGTTCTGAGCAAGGTGAGCACAAAGACTAGGAGATGCTTCAGGTGTAAACGCTCTCAAATTCTTGAAAAAAATCTGAATTTAGTTACGGGACAGAGCCCGAAATACTGGACCCTCAATCTTCACCAATCTTCGCATTGGTCATCTCAGTTCATGATAGAAATATAACCCTTAAATACCTGTGATCCATAATGCCATTCATCCCTTAACAACTCTGGTAAACTCAACGAATTTGCAAAGACTTACTCATGGCATTGCTTTGTGACCAGCAAAACAGTGTGAGGAGAAAGCCAGTGAAGAAGCTGAAATTTCGTATCTGTGTCATATTGATCATAGACTGTCTCCTGAGTAGGGTAATGTATCAAAGATTTGATCTGACGAAAACGGACGGTCAACACACTACTGAGGCCTCTCGCGCGGGATTATGCTGCCAAGTTATTGCTGCGCTCCGGCAACTTGGTGTGTTTATATACACCTGCCGTGTTTACGGCTTCCGCCTGATTCCAGTAACATCGACTGCCTCTCTGCTAACCAATCGAATGGATTGTGGAAGGGCCACGTTCATGATGAAGGGGGTCTGGCAAAAGAAACAAATAAGGGACGCGGTCGGTTAATGTGGCCTGTGGGTTGGGTACAGCTCTGCCGCTGGCTGAATCGCTGACGGCCCCACACAAGCAGGCCATTGGTCAATTGGCCGATTCTGTCAGCCTTGATGCTTATTGGATGGTTGAGAAATCGTATGATGTTTGGTCAACGAGATTGCCTCCGGAGACGTGGCACACGGCAACATGTTCACACACGGCTCCAGCGATCAGCGGGTTGCTGAAGCGTTTTCCAAACACCTTTGTGGGATCTGTTCCAAAGTACTACGTCGGATTACAGATTGGTAACATTCGTAGCTAACGCTGCAGTCGTAATGTTCGGTTTTTGAATAACTTCACATGGACCACAGAATGAAACGTCCAAGCTTGACTTATATTTAATTAGGTTTTCAAAATTCGTGCTGCTCAGCACTTCTGACGGCTGCACTGGCTACAGAACCCCTGTTGCACACGAACTAGCAAAGATGACTGCAGGCAACAGGTAATATAAAATTTTGAAGGTCTCCTCGCAAGATGGGTAACGGAAGAGGACCTCAGTTATTTCCAAGCCTGATCTATTGATTAACAAGAGGTTCGCGCCGAAACGGAGCCACAATTTACAAAGAACTTGATTTCTAGCCATCCTGGGCTTTATTAAACGGATTAATCAGCGAAGATATTGTTCCCTTCTCAGCACAATTATTGAGCCATTCAAATTGCTCGCTTTTTTCTTCACGTTGGGCACTCCATCGTTTGGTCTATTCTAGTTATGCGAGAGGACGCTTTCTCAAATGAACCATCTTTCCCCTGGGAATAGGTTTGTAATGGCATTCACACGGCATTCATAGATTGAACTGTGGTCACCTCCCAAATTAAACTACCACGTGGTTTGTTTTAGGTGAGTGGACTTCGGTTCACACTGCTCAACTCATGGGGGTGCTTTTCCTGACAAGTGTTTATAGGATTTGCCCGCCGTGGAGGACACAGAGAATAGAAGAAGCTGAATTCCGTCAAACGATTTCCCGGGTAGCTGTTCCCTGGAAACCGGGGGGTGTTGCATATACTGACCACGTGCAGGATGATAACTGACTAAGGTCAGTAAACGGCACAGCAAGTGAATCGCACGTCATTGAGGATAAACTCCAGCTATATTAAGACTGTCTTAATTGGATTTGGGCAACCTTAGAGTCACCGATGTTCTCGTTGTGAGCTGCCTCAAACGCAACAACCGTCGAAAGGGGGCTAACCACGTGGTTTGCTGGTCATTCTACCACACCCAATAATTTACCTCACGGTGGAATTCAGCCATCACCGATTGTATATCTACAAAAAAAAAACAAATTTTACACACCTTCTGGTAAAACAGAACTGCAATACTAGTACTACAAATCTTAGCTTGCCAGAGGGGCTAATCGCATAAAACAGGGGGAAAGGTTTACGTTTTGTACTCGATTTATCTTCAACTCCACATGCCACCTCCTAGTTGAAGGCATTTCTGCATCGGGCGAGTTGGCTCAAGTGGTTAGAACGCGAGTTTACTGACCGGAAGGTCAAACCCCGACCTCTGCCTCTCGACTTTTCCTGTCTAGGCTTGGATAACCCCTGGCAGTATTTCAGCCCTCGTGCTTCGGCATGACAGCTAGGCACCGAAAGGGCACTACGGTTGAACGACCTGACCTAACACGTTTAGTCATACTCCAATTTTATCGGCGCGCTTGAAGATTTTTGTTGTCATCGCCATACTACTTGTATTCACAAGAACACACCAAACGATACCTGACCGTTAACTTGATCCTATACAAGTCTGGTTGTTCGTCTTGCCACCTTGACCAGTTCAATACGATAGTTCTCAGCTCAGTCACAGTTCCCATTTCGCATCTCCGTCTACTTTTAGAAGCTATCCACTTTTTCAATCATCCCCGGTGTCCACGAGATCTGTGTTTACGGAGTCCAGTCATAAATGAGGGCAACCTAGTGAAAAACCAATTGATTAGCAATAAAACAGAAGCATTAATTAGCATGGGGCAAACTATTTGAAACACAGAAAGACAGGACAGTTTGTTCGATGTTCACAACGGAAAAATGAGCGTGTAGCTTTGCTTACGTATACACGATAGGGAAGCTTTGAAGAAAAAGTACGAATAGTGAAATCTGTTTGCCTCTAGTTGTTTTAATTTGGTTTTGATTGGCCAATATTCATGATGCGTTCGGTTGGGTTGGGAAAAAGAGGAACTTACCAATATATTAAGTATAAAAATAAATTGGTATCTTTGAGAAATTCTACTTCCTTATGCCGTTGTGTCTGAAGCCTGTTTGTCGTTTACCGTTTCCGGGGATTTGATTCAAACTTTCGTATGCGTAAGCATGAAATTCACTCCAACGGTTTTCAGTACCTGGGTTTCTTTGTGAAGTCCCGATTCGATGTAGCCTTTGAGTGGGTACTGGCGACTCGTACTCCGAAGGATATGTCCAAGACGAGTTCGAGTGATTTTCTTTTACGGGGCACTCAACAGCAAAGCAGACCAACAGGAAATATCTTGTTACTGAGTGGGGACCTTCATTAGGAAACTGACCTTTAATTCGTGTTTTTTGTTTCACTCTGGGACCTCATGATTAAGGCGTAGCTGGAAGTCGAGCATTGTATAACTGCCGATTTGAATGTCGCCCGATTAAAGCAGACTCCAACAGAGGCCATAATACTACTGTACGGATAACACTATGCCCTTTCATTTCTAACTATAATTATCCTGCAGACCTCTAAGGAGCTCTATAGGCAGAAAAAGCCTCCATTCCTGCGTAAGAGTAGCTTGATTTCACTGACAAATTGATTCGCGACGCCAAGAAAACACCAGAGTGATCATCTTTCATATCGTCTCCGTATAGAACCCGGTATCTCATGAAACAGCTTTTGACCAATATAATTTCATAAAGAAAACTACTGACAAGGTTGCTGAAAACTCTTCGACAGCCCACGACCGGTTGCAGGCAGGCGATCTTCAGCGGCCAGAGTATGACCATCTGGCCAAACTGCCAGTTTACTGACACCAAAGTGAAACGGAGGTTGACTTCTCACCGAGCAAATTCACTGAAAAACAATTGGTCCGCGAAATCATATTCCGAAACATGACCTTCATCTCGACCTTCTAACGCTATGTTCATGAGTGCCTCCGGAACTAGACACATTACTTTACCCGGTGTACTTCCCAGCCTTGAATTATAAAGAAGTCCGAGACTGGTACACTGGTATAACTGGGCGCTTGAGTCTAACTGACTGGATGTTGAGGGAGAAAATTAGAAGAAAACCTTTCGATCTCTCAACGATTGTGAACAACGCCAGTCAGTGAGGGACATTTATTTAGCAATCTCGTGCATGCACCTGCCAAACTACTTGCTGTTATACTACTTGGCCAATGTTGCAAACGCCTGTGTTCAAATTTATCCAACATGAGCTGTCATCACCAGTGTGCACCTGTAAAATAACTTCCAGAAAATTCGACACCTATAGTTACAACATTGCAATGGTCAAAAGGATACAAAAAACATTTCAATGTGTTTGATAACTGAGCTTTCACATCCAGTTTGAAGTTTCACTTTTCTAGTACCAGAGTGGCAAATTTGGGCTTTGAAAACTGATGAGTGTCACAAAGTGTAGTAACTTGTGGTGCTGGTTAAAAGACGGTCAAATGGATCAGGTGATGAGGAAAGTAAACAGGAGTGCAGTTGCTTGCACACCAGTTTGGTTTCTGAGCGAGATTCAAATGAATCGCTGCTAAGGCGGCCGTTTATGATGCACCCACGCGTGAAAAAGACACTTAAATAAGCAAGCGTTAAATGAACTAGAAGATAATATGCGGTTCGGTTGAAAATTAGCTGGAGCCAGGATACAGAATTTCGTCAGGAGCTGGCTTGGAAATCGAAGGCTTTGTTTCAGTTCTAAACACCACTGTCAACTCCATAGTGTTACGAGTGGTCTGTTCGTTAACAGTGACCTACACACAGATTCGATGCAAGTCCAATCCAAGTGTATGGTCCATAAAGACTATCCTCAAGGTCGTGCGGTACTTCCGTCTTATCGATTAGTTCGACCTAGATTTTGATGTTGTCGCTCGAAGTTCATGAGATCACTACGAATTCACAGGCAGTGTTCACTTCCGGATGTCTTACACGTCTAGTCGCGTTGCATTTTTCAAGTGGAACCCCAGGGAAGGGTCAGTAGCGGACACGTTTCCAGACACAATCCAAGGCTTAAGTGTAGCACCTTTGCACGCCACCGCGACTGAAGTAACAGTATGATATGGCGCGTTCGCGCTATCGACATGGCAGTTAAATTGCTAAGGCTAGATAGACGATAGATAGATCGATAGACGATCGATATTTACTAAAGCCTGGGCCCTTAGTCTTCGTCGCAACTACTTAATCATTTGCAGACAGATTTGTCAAAGGTAGAAACAAATTACACCCGTTTGTCGAGAAATACAAATCAATCTGGTTTTCACGAGAGACTCAACTGAATCTCTCGCTTACGATATAGAATGATTTAGAATATCATAAGCGAGAGATTCAGCTGAGTGTCTCGTGAAAACCAAATTGATTTGTAAATGAGTGCATTTCTCGAAAAAGTCCAGTTCGGCTTCAGGTGGAACATAAGGTTGACGGAAACTCGGGGACTGCGCCTAACTGATGAGCCCAAGAAGGACGAAACCGGTCGTGGGATGTTTTCAGCGAGTAGTTCCGTTTGTGAAGACATCCGTTTGTGCTATTCTTCAGCCGAACGCTGAGCACAAAGACCACATCGTGTTATTCGGGACAGCAATGAGGATTATAATCAAACCAACTGGCCTTCTGTTGAACCTTCTGATGAAACCAAGCCACTTGCCACTTGCTTACACTCTTGATGAAATAAAAAACATCTGATACATACTCGGTGATTAGGCCTACATGACGAGCTCGAAAGGGGGCAACGCTGCCGAACAATATCCACATTTCTGTCTGAACAACTACACCCACTTGCATATGAGTCTGGTTTTCAGCCCCACCTCTCGTTTATGATAGTCTGTGTGTAGCTCAGAAATGTTCAGTGAATAACAACACATTCGTCATCA